AGGACACTCCCTGGTCACTCACTCCAAACACATCCTTCCTGTCAGCCTCCCGCACTGCTGTCTTCTGGCAACCAGCATCAGGTCCCCTCACTACCTGCACATAAGCTCTGGGGCCAGCTGCAGCCTTGGTCTCCAAAGCCACTGCTTCCTTGCACTGAGCTCTTGCCAAGTACCTCACGTGCTGTGCTCCCGGAGCTGAGGCTGCCCTGTGTATATATGGATATATGTACCTCACTTGTGGATATATGGATATATGTACCTCACCTGCTGTGGAAATCCCTCTCCAGGACCGAGTTCTCCCTTGTGCTCTGAGAGGGAGTATGGCTCACACGGAAGCTTTGTTCTGAAGGAAAATAAGCCCTTAAGGGTACACTCTTAACCGAACTTCCAAAGTGTTCTTGATTCAAAGCATATTCCCTCGGGGAAACAAGGTCCAGAGACCAGGGAGCTCAGTCATCTTCCCCAAACAGAGAATGGGATCATCACCTCCATGATTCAATATTTCTTGATTCTTTAACACATTTCCAGGGCACACTGTTCACTCTGCAGGCATGGCCCAAGCTTCTGTGTGTGACTACAATTGTGCAAAGTCAGTAGTCAGACACCGGACTGTGCCGCTGTGGGGCATCAGCCCCTAAGAGATGAAAGATAAGTTTTCATGAGAATATGAAAACGATGATGAGACCCAAATAAAGAAAAAAAAATTAAAGGTCTAAATCCCAGAAGACCTCCATGAGCCATGGAGTAGGTGGGTCCTGCAGAACTGGGGCTAAAGGCTCTCAAGGAGTAACAAGGGAGGGGCATATCTGCTGCTCTCGTGGAGTAACAAGAGGGGCGTATCTGCCACTCTTGTGGAGTAAGAGAGGGGCATATCTACTGTTTTCTCCTAAGATTTCTTTTTTTTTTCTTTCTTTATTTATTTATTAAATATTTCAGTCTCTTCCCCACCTCCGCCTCCCCTTTCCCTCCCCCTCCCCAATCCATTCCCCCTCCCTCGTCAGCCCAAAGAGCAATCAGGGCTCTCCGTCCCGTGGGAAGTCCGAGGAAAACCCTCCTCCGTCCAGGTCTCGTAAGGTGAGCATCCAAACTGCCTAGGCTCCCACAAAGCCACTACATGCAGTAGGATCAAAAACCCATTGCCATTGTTCTTGATGTCTCAGTAGTCCTCATTGTCCGCTATGTTCAGTGAGACCGGTTTTAACCCAGGCTTTTTCAGACCCAGGTCAGCTGGCCTTGGTGAGTTCCCGATAGAGCATCTCCATTGTCTCAGTGTGTGGGTGCACCCCTCGCGGTCCTGAGTTCCTTGCTCATGTTCGCTCTCCTTCTGCTCCTGATTTGGACCTTGAGATTTCAGTCCGGTGCTCCAATGTGGGTCTCTGTCTCTGTCTCCTTTCATCGCCTGATGAAGGTTAATATTCAGGAGGATGCCTATATGTTTTTCTTTGGGTTCTCCTTCTTATTTAGCTTCTCTAAGAACCCGAATTATAGGCTCAATGTCCTTTATTTATGGCTAGAAACCAAATATGAGTGAGTACATCCCATGTTCCTCTTTTTGGGTCTGGCTTACCTCACTCAGGATAGTGTTTTCTATTTCCATCCATTTGCCTGCAAACTTCAAGAAGTCCTTGTTTTTTACTGCTGAGTAGTACTCTAATATGTATATATTCCATACTTTCTTCATCCATTCTTCAATTGAGGGGCATCTAGGTTGTTTCCAGGTTCTGGCTATTACAAACAATGCTGCTATGAACATAGTAGAGCATATATTTTTGTTGCATGATAAGGCCTCTCTTGGGTATATTCCCAAGAGTGGTATTGCTGGGTCCATGGGTAGGTTGATCCCAAATTTTCTGAGAAACCGCCACACTGCTTTCCAGAGTGGTTGTACAAGTTTGCATTCCCACCAGCAATGGATAAGTGTACCCCTTTCTCCACAACCTCTCCAGCATAGGCTATCATTGGTGTTTTTGATTTTAGCCATTCTGACAGGTGTAAGATGGTATCTTAAAGTTGTCTTGATTTGCATTTCCCTGATCGCTAAGGAAGTTGAGCATGACCTTAGGTGTCTTTTGGCCATTTGAACTTCTTCTGTTGAGAGATCTCTGTTCAGCTCAGTGCCCCATTTTATAATTGGGTTGATTAGCCTTTTACAGTCTAGTTTCTTAAGTTCTTTATATATTTTGGAGATCAGACCTTTGTCAGTTGCGGGGTTGGTGAAGATCTTCTCCCAGTCAGTGGGTTGCCTTTCTGTCTTAGCGACAGTGTCCTTTGCTTTACAGAAGCTTCTCAGTCTCATGAGGTCCCATTTATTCAATGAGGCCCTTACTGTCTGTGCTGCTGATGTTATACGTAGGAAGCGGTCTCCTGTGCCCACTTGTTGTAGTGTAGTTCCCACTTTCTCTCCTATCAGGTTCAGTGTGTTCAGACTGATATTGAGGTCTTTAATCCACTTGGACTTGAGTTTTGTGCATGGTGACAGACATGGATCTATTTTCATTTTTGTACAGATTGAAATCCAGTTTTGCCAGCACAATTTGTTGAAGATGCTCTCTTTTTTCCATTGTATAGTTTTAGCTCCTTTATCGAAAATCAGGTGCTCATAGGTTTGTGGATTAAAGTCAGGGTCTTCTATACGGTTCCATTGGTCGACTTCTCTGTTTTTATGCCAATACCAAGCTGTTTTTAATACTGTAGCTCTGTAATAGAGTTTGAAGTCAGGGATGGTAATGCCTCCAGACGTTCCTTTATTGTATAAGATTGTTTTGGCTATCCTGGGTTTTTTATTTTTCCATATAAAGTTGATTATTGTCTTCTCCAGATCTGTGAAGAATTTTGATGGGATTTTGATGGGGATTGCATTGAATCTATATATTGCTTTTGGAAGAATTGCCATTTTTACTATGTTGATCCTCCCAATCCAAGAGCAAGGGAGATCCTTCCATTTTCTGGTGTCTTCTTCTATTTCGTTCTTCAAAGTCTTAAAGTTCTTGTCATATAGATCTTTCACTTCCTTGGTCAGGGTTACCCCAAGATATTTTATGCTCTTTGTGGCTATCATGAAAGGTGATGCTTCTCTGATTTCCCTCTCTGTTTCCTTATCCTTACTGTATAGGAAGGCAACTGATTTTTTCGAGTTGATCTTGTATCCTGCCACATTACTGAAGGTGTTTATCAGCTGTAGGAGTTCTTTGGTAGAGTTTTTGGGGTCGCTTATGTATACTATCATATCATCTGCAAATAACGAAAGCTTAACTTCTTCCTTTCCAATACGAATCCCTTTGATCCCCTTATGTTGTCTTATTGCTATTGCTAGAACTTCAAGCACTATATTGAAGAGGTATGGAGAGAGTGGACATCCTTGTCTTGTTCCTGATTTTAGTGGGATGGCTTTGAGTTTTTCTCCGTTTAATTTAATGTTAGCTGTCGGTTTGCTGTAAATAGCTTTTATTATATTTAGGTATGACCCTTGTATCCCTAGTCTCTCCAATACCTTTATCATAAAGGGGTGTTGGATTTTGTCGAATGCTTTTTCAGCATCTAATGAAATGATCATATGGTTTTTTTCTTTCATTTTATTTATATGGTGGATTACATTGATAGATTTGCGTATGTTGAACCAGCCCTGCATCTCTGGGATGAAGCCTACTTGATCATAATGGATAATTTTTCTAATGTGTTCTTTCTCCTAAGATTTCTAAGAACACAAAAGATTTTTGGAAGGAAACTCTAATTTGAACTTAATGAGTCCAAGGCACCTGGATAGAGCTTCATGCGGGGACAAAAAGAGCATATAAAGAGCCTGAGATCTGCTCTTTTCCTGCTTTAGCAGCTCGGCGCGGCCGTCATCATGAACGACACAGTAACGATCCGGACCAGGAAGTTAGTTCATGACCAACCGTCTGCTTCAAAGAAAACAGATGGTGATTGATGTCCTTCACCCTGGGAAGGCAACAGTACCAAAGACAGAGATTCGGGAGAAGTTAGCCAAAATGTACAAAACCACACCAGATGTCATCTTTGTATCTGGATTCAGAACTCATTTTGGTGGTGGGAAAACAACTGGCTTTGGCATGATCTATGATTCTCTCGATTATGCAAAGAAGAATGAACCCAAACACAGACTTGCAAGACATGGCCTTTATGAGAAGAAAAAAGACCTCCCGAAAACAGCGAAAGGAACGCAAGAATAGAATGAAGAAGGTTAGGGGGACTGCGAAGGCCAATGTTGGTGCTGGCAAAAAGCCAAAGGAGTAGATCCGTGGTGACTTGATCTGCTTTGGTTTGCAGACCATTTCCCAGAGGACAAATAAACTAAAAGCTTATGTGAAAAAAAAAAAAAAAAAAAAAGAGCCTGAGATCTGGGTGGAGGTCCCGGCTGGACAGTCGCCAGCACTACACAGCAGTCATACCCACAGGTGCAGGTAAGGGCTCCTCAAAATGATGGATCATCAACAGCCAATGGGCAGGCAGGTAGAGGGACACATAAAGGAGAGGCAAGCAGAGTCCTGGAAGAAAAAGTGGCCACCCGTGCAGATCCACTGGCCATAGCCATATAGATTTCACAATGCACACTGCAGTCCACCATTCACATGGGCCATGCTAATGGCACCCCCACCCCAGAACCATGTGGACTTGAACAACCAAGGGTGGTCCAGTATCTGATTAAACTCCAGTTAGGTTAAGAGCAAAAGTAAATCCACACTACTGATGACAAAAAAAGACCCAAGATTTCACAGTACCACACAAATATTTAAAAGAAAAAAGTAAGAAGAAAAAGAGGAAGAGGAAGACAGAGATGGAAGGAAGAAAGGAAGAGAAAGGAAGTGGCTGTTAAAACACTTCTGAACCATGGCAGGTTACTGGCACTCAATACTTCTGGAGGGATGGATAGGTAATCAGTACGCCAGTGAGAACTTAGAAGACAGAGAAGGGAAAACTGAACACCCATCTGCCAAACACTGACCAGCCTCCCATCAACCCAACTTCAGCCAGCAGCAGAATCCTACCCATATCAGGTCAATTTATTCTTCATACAAATATTTTACAGTTTTATTTTTAAATCATTTACACATATGCATACAAAGAAAAATAAATTTCAGGATGGAACCTTGGGACCATGGCAGTTAAAAAAAAAATCTCTGATCATTAGCTCCTGAAGACAAGGCAAGAGGCTTAGCAGTCATTTGTGGGGGCTTGTGTGTCTCCCCACACAGAGGACAGTGGAGAAGAACCCAGCTGCTCCCTCAGCATCCCTTGATCTTCACCTTGTGGAGGTAATATGGGGGGGGGGTGTTCAATGCTATCCCCTACAAATGTTTCAAGAAGGCTTATGGTAACACTGAACCCTCCTTTTGCTGGGAATTTGGCAAGAACACAACTTCTGAACCAGTTTGCTACAAGTTTGCTCAGTTCCTGCTTACAGGTCTCTCAAGGAGCAGAGGGGACTGCAGTACTGACCACACCCCTACTGTCCCACCTCAGACTCTAGGCTCATTGCTCCTCAAAGCCCATGCTCCCTGCAGTGATGAGCCCAGGCCCTGAGGACACTACAGTAGCCACATGAGCATCCACTACTTCAGGGTCCAACCACAGAGCATCCCAGCTCACTCCCACAAGTGACAGAACTATGAGCACCTGTCCCAAGCTTGGGTCTGTGGAGACACGTCAGCGTTTCAGTGAACAGACCAACTGCTAACATCCATCCCACACAGCATCACACAGCTGTGAGGACTCTTACACGCCACTGCCCAAGGAAGCTGGACTATTGCCAATTCCCAGTAAGAGTAGGGTAAGGAGAGACTTACAAATGTGGTAGACCCTATCATTAATGGCAGCTGATGACAACAATCTCCCTATGTCATTGGGTCCTACCCAAAAAGCAGCACCAAGAAAGGGCAATGATGAGCAGAAAGAGATCTGTAGCTGGATAGACAGCCCCTGAATTACCAAGGGACAGAGACAGCTCATTCCCTACAATTATGTAGGACCTAGGACACAGACTATGCACCCCTACATCGAGGCAGCTCCTGAGAGGTCGTACCGCTCGTGGTCATCAGCCCAACCCCTTGGTAGGCCCACTGGAGGAGAGGGAGTCACACCCAGAGCAAGAAGCCCTCCAGGCAGACACTCACAGGGCAGCTCATCCCACTGTCACTGGGGCAGGCCAAACATAGCTAGAAGGGCAGACAGATCCCGAGCATCAGCCGCCCCATAGGCATCGCTCTGACCTAACATAGATAACGCCAATCGCAGGGTACTCCAGATGTTCTCTGACATGGCGCCCCCCTCACCCCGAGGGCCCCGGCTCTTCCTCTGCATGTTCAGCGCCTCCAAAAAGTGTTCCACGGCCTCCCTGTAGGGAAGAAGAATGGGAGCAGGTAAGGAAATCAACAGTGGGTGAGGCATGGGGCATGGCGAGGAAGGATCAGAACGCTAGGAACCAAAGCCAAGAAGACAAGGTATATCTGCTCACAAAGGAGTCCACACTCACCGGTGAGCCCCGAGGTTGATGCAGCTGATGCCTAGGTTATAGCGAGACCGGATGTACCCAGGCTGTAGTTCAAGGGCTCTACGGTAGGCAGCCACTGCTTCTTCACTCTGGTTCCCATTGGCCAAGGTGGCCCCAAGTTTGTTCCACAACAAATAGTCCTGGGACAGAGAAAGAGGTCTGGAAATATGAGCTAGGCGTGGATCAACTTCTGCCATCCCGCCACCTGCTTCGCCACTGTTTGGTTAGTGTAGGTTACTAACTCATGCTCTTGCCCTCAGCAGCTCCCACTGTGGTCACGGGGTCATCCTAGGCAGACACTCACCCCATGTCCATACACTCCTGTTTTCCACTGATTCCCCCACCCATGTCATTTCCCAGTCTTCCCAGGGCTTTCATGAAATCTCTCAAGCGCAAATGACTCCTCGACCCTTCTCCCGAGGCTCACATTGGGACGAACACTGAGGGCAGCCGTAAAGCAGTCCACAGCCTTGTCGTACTCCCCACTCAGGTTGAAGAGGACTCCCAAGCCACACTGCACATCAGGGTCAATGGAAGTAGGGTCCAAACGCACAGCTGCCAGGAAGAGCTCTTTCACTTCAAGAAACAGGGAGCTAGGTAAGGAGAAGAAAAGCAGAGCGGGAGGTAGATGGGTCTATCTGTATTCCTAGCCTCCAAACAGCCCCTTAAAAAGGCAACCACATTCCCAGGGTTCGTCAATCAGTTATCTCTTTACCCAAATCCCACTTTGCAGCCTGTTCTCTTTACAGCATTTCATGTAGAACACTGATCTCCTTCACGCTGACCATGGGTAAACCATTACTCTTAGACCCTTAGATCTCAGCATATTGAAAGCTCCCTAAGCAAGGTCACGTTCTTACTAGGACCCACACTACCCTCCTCATCCCAGGAATCCCATGCACTCACTCAGACAACAGAGATCCCAAGACACGCTTGCTGGGACCCAGTCCTGTCCCACTAGCCCCTTCTTCACCAGGAGCCACCAGATGGGCATAGGCTGGTGAGTAGCGCAGCCAGTCTCGCAGGGTCTCACAGGCCTGTCGCTGCAGGGACTCGTTGGTAAAGCTTACAGCCAGCGCCATCAGTGCTGTCCGGTTATCTGGCTTTAGCTCCAGACACCTGACGGGACAAAGATGAGAAGACTGACACCAAACCTGCAAATGACACCAGCAGCCCTCAGCACCAGGGGTCCACAGCCGAGCTTTGAAATACATTCATGGACGCCTGACTTCTACCCTCTCAGCTTAACCGAGAGAAGAATCCTCTGGACTTCAAGGCAATATCCCAACCTGAAAGGCAAAGTTTTAGCAGTCGAAGACCAACCAGGATCCCAAAAATACAGTCAAAACTGATGAAGGATGCTAACTAAGCCTTCCTCTCACTCCTCTAGTCATCCCTGAGCCATCTGATGGTTCCTTTGTGCCAACAACGGTCAGGAAAGACAAGGACCTGGTTCTGGTGCCCATTAGGCTAACGGTTACTTGCAGACCTACATCTTTCACAGCGGCACACTCACCTCCGCAGGGCACTGATAGCCAGGAGCTCCTGCTCATTCTCAGCCTGGGTGGTACCCAGATACTGCCAAGCCTAGAGAGAAGTTGACAGTCCATCATTGACTTTGCATCCTCTCCTCCACTGGCTTCCCCAACTCTCCATGCACCCCATCTGCACGCCTCTTTGGGCCCTGGACAAAGCCCCACTCACTTCCATGTGCTTAGGATCCTGCTGCACAGCAGCCTCAAAAAGCAGCACGGCATTGGGCAGATCGCCCTCCTCAAGTCGACGCAGCCCTTCTTCAAAAGCCTGAGGGTGGTCACGCAGGGGATTCTCCTCCTCAAACTGGTACCCCTAGAAGGAAGGGAAGCGATGGGGGAGGGGACTTCTGAGAGAGAATCCAGTCAAGGCAGCACGGGCTAGGAAAACAGTAGCCACACAGGCGTATCAAAGTCTCCAGATTATGGAAACCATGACAAAGCAAAGGTGAGTACCAGCTCAGCTGCCATCTCCTATTTACAGTGGCTGAGAAGCTGCCTGACGCTCTAAGTACCTATGCTGAGATTATAAACTTATTTTAGGAAGCCTTCCCACGCCTGCATTTCTGTATCTTCAATTTCTCTCCACCGGACAGAGCACACCTCTCAACAGCACCTGCTGATCACAGTGAAAGCTCTTCTCTGAGCCCCAACTCCTAGTATGATGGCAGATGGGGGGGGTGCAACAGGAGTCAGAGGCCTGCCTTCCAGGCCAGGTTTTCCCAGCTGACTGGGTGTATCAGAAGTGCTCAGTCTATTCCCCATTACTAAATTTCTCTTTTTGTCCATTTGTCTTTTAGGTAGGGTCTTGCTATGTTGCCTAGGCTGGCCTCAAACTCACAACTATCTTCTTGCCTCAGCTTCCCAAGTAGTGACATTACAGACATAAGCTGCCATATTGGGCTTCTAGATTTTAAATACAATGTGGACCCCAAAATATAGCTAGCAGAGAAGACTTCTACAAGACACTGCTCTCTTCCAGCTGGGGGGAGGGTCTCAAATGAGAACGTCAGGATGCCCCTAAAAAGTTTTGCCAACTGACATTTGATGTGATGTAGAAGATAATATGGCAAGGTCAAAAACCACTGGTAAGCCACAAGGCTCTGGACAAATAAAATATTCCTTCGGGGAACGTAAACAGTTACTACCACAAAAAAAGAACTAAAACCATATGTAGTCACCAGACAGTTTGGTGACCACAGTTTCAAATACAGTGCAGACACAGAGAACTCAGCAGTAAACTGGACAGAATACAGACAAGCTGTCCTGTTTGCTCATCACTGTGAAACAAAGAACCAGAACCTCTACATCCTAAACCACAAGTCATCCGCTGCAGAGGACAGTTAACAGCTGCAGCGGACAGTCAACAACTGCAGAGGACAGTCAACAGCTGCATAGGAAAGTCAACAGCTGCAGAGGACAGTCAACAGCTGCAGAGGACAGTCAACAGCTGCAGAGGAAAGTCAACAGCTGCAGAGGACAGTCAACAGCTGCAGCAGACAGTCAACAGCTGCAGAGGAAAGTCAACAGCTGCAGAGGACAGTCAACAGCTGCAGAGGACAGTCAACAGCTGCAGAGGAAAGTCAACAGCTGCAGAGGACAGTCAACAGCTGCAGCAGACAGTCAACAGCTGCAGAGGACAGTCAACAGCTGCAGCAGACAGTCAACAACTGCAGCAGAGATCCAAATCATGAGACTCACTGCTGGAAATGGATTTGAGGAGAACGTGTCAAGTGGATAGCTGGGAAACATTAAAAACTCAGAAATGACCCTACTGCAAGGGACAGCATTGCCTTCTCAGTAAACAGCCAAACAATAAAGACGGCACACCTTGCGGGTCCTACTGCAATGTCCCAACTCCACCACAGGAGGGCCAAGCAGTCAGGGCAGTACGTAAGCAATGAGCACGGCTGTATCATCATCAAATTTTACTCATGGACACTGAAGTTTAGATTTTAATTTCCAGGTATTACAAATTGTATTACTCTTTTGATTTCTTCCAGCCATTTAAAAATTCTAAAACCATTCTCAGTCACTAAACCGTTTACAAATGAGTAGCGAATTCATTTATTCCACAGACGATCCATGCTCTAGACCATCTGAATTCAACAGAATATTTTTACATTCAACCTTAACTGCTGTCCATCATCAATGCACCCTTTAAGCCACTCTGTGGGAAACAGAGAATGTTATCACATCACATATAATGTAATTTTCTAATGAATATAATTTATGCCTCAAAGCTACTAAGAGCCTTATGAAAGCCTTAAGCACTGTTCACTAATGGTGGTTGGAGCTACTTTCTTAGGGTTCAATGGCTGTGTGTGTAGCAGTCAGCAGAGATGAACGTTCTCACGTGTCTCCAGCAGACAATGTGACAAATGAATGCCACTGTTGTTCAGACACGAGTCACCTCTAGACCCCGTTACCTATCACTTCTAAGGTCTCATCAATTACTGCTCAAAGAAGAATTAACTATTATTCCCTTGTGCAAAAATAAAGTATTTGCACAGATGGAAAAAAGAATACTCTGCAGGAACCCTTCACAGCCTACAGAGTGCAGAGAGTGTCACTTCGCATCCTGAAAGCTCTAAGCCAGCCAGTCATCTTGTCTGACCCCCTGCCTTGGGCTGGTCCAAAACCACACAGGATCCCACTGCAGACAGAGCAGTGCTTCAGAGCCTCCACACCACAGAAACTCTCTCAGCAACACTGTTCACGTCTTTGTAAGTCACAAGTATATGTAGCCTCTGAAAAATCTAAAGGTTATCAATAAAAAAAAATGTTTAATTTTAAAAAAGGATAAAGAGGGGTGAGGAGATAGCTCCATGGATAAAGCACTTGCAGGCAAGCAGGAGGACCAGAGTTCAGGCCCCAACTCCTGTGATAAAAAGCAGGCAGGCGTGGCGATCCAGTCAGATAGGAGATCTGCAAGGCAAGCTGGCCAGCTAAACTAGAGCTGTGTCAGTGAGCTCTGGGTTCAGTGAGAGACTCTGCCCCAGACAGGAAAGTGGAAAGCAACTAAGGAAAACACCCCATGTTAACATCTGGTCAGCACACATGTGCATACCACAGACACAAGCAAAATAATAAACAAGTAAAATGTACAAAATGACCCATGAATATATTTGACAATGAGCTCATATCCACACTTTTAAAGTACCCCATATAATTCAGTACAACTTAGCTTATGGACAGGGAGATCTTAACTTTTCACTATTAGTGATTAATAACATGGAGCATTCTTATGAAGCATCCACGTTTCTAAGCCTAGTTTTGCAATATTTCAAGGTATTACTGACATTTAATAGGATTCATAGATCTAATAACTTATAGTTTTTGTTTGTTTTGAAACACAATCTCACTAACCTACACTCGTCTTTTTATAGCCAGCCTGCCTCAGCCTCCCGAGTACTAGGATTACAGGTGTGCATCACTATGCCTAGATCCCTCGTTATATTTTCAAGCTTTTAATTTTAAAGGTGTACTTGGCCCAGCATGTCATAGATATGGGAAGAGTAAGTGCTAAATGAAGCTTCTAACTTAAAAAGTTATTCTGTGTAGGTCATAAATGCCAGAGGAAATATTACCCAAATAAAAGTAGTACTTACTCATATCTCAATTTGTCAAATGTATGGAAATGCCAATTATAAGTTAACAGCATATCAAATTGTCAATGCAGGACAATGAAAGTGTTGTCCTATAAGAAGAATTTATACTGTGGCCAAATACAAGGAGAGGTTCCTAGAAGTAAGCGGTCCCTCCATGCACCACACGACCATTCTTGGTCGAGCCCAGAAAGGACAGAAACAAAACAGTGCCGTTTTCCCTCGGAGCAGTTCCTCTGGGGCTCTCAGGCTCTGGCCTTCTGACAGTCCCTGGGCTTCTCCTGTCTTTGTTCCTCTGGGGCTCTCAGGCTCTGGCCTTCTGACAGTCCCTGGGCTTCTCCTGTCTTTGCACGGCTCCCTGTGTCAACATCCACCGCCACGGCCCCGCATCACATCTCAAGATCAGGTTCTTTCTCCTCCACAGCTGAGCTGAGAAAGATGTGTTGTTCTGTTCCTATTCTGTCTTCCTGAAAACCAAGCAATTCTTTTCCTTCCCTCTCATGCTTCAACTCAGAGGCTCAATTATCAGCTATATCCCCAGTGGTCCTGCAACTCACAAGCAGATGGATTCACAGAGAGACAAGTGAAGAGTCACAGACATCTATGCTAAAAGCACACATTACATACAGGATCCAGACATCTTCACCACAGACTTCTGAGAGATCTTCCTATTGCTTAAATTATTTAATGTGATTCTTTGAACCCCTGAACTGGGACAAGAGCCTGGTTCCTACAAGAAGAGATCAGAATTTAAATGAGACCTGAGGACATAGCTCAGTAAGATACTTAGTCCTTCCTAGCACACACCACCCCTGGGTTGATCCCCAGGTGTCTTGAACTTATGAGCTTAAAAAAGTATGTATCACAGCGTGGACAGACAGGAATGATCCATCAACTACCACTGTCCAGCAGAGGGGTCAGCAACAGATAAATTGTCCCAGTGCAGCTCTCCAAGAGGCCCACTCATCTGTTCTTAGCGCATGCTGTGTGCGCCTCCCTCACGGGCATTACGTCACTGTAGGATTTGCAAAGGTGTTCTTGCGAACCTTTACTCTAGAGAACATAGTACATTCAGTCACAGGACAGCAGGGGCCAAACTTCTTTTCATAGATGTAGGCTCAAAAACAGTAACAGCGTGGAAAGGCTTCAAATTCTAGAACCCAGAAAGCCAGGGGCTCCTACCTTGTCATAGGAAGTGGACGTGAGGTCATCATAGTCAGAAAGCCAGGGGTGCGCCTCAGCATCCCGTTTTGCCATTTCCTCCAATTCTGCCTGCAACTTGTCCCAGAAATCGACATCAGACTGTAAGGAAGGGAAGGCAGGTAGAGAAAGGAGAGGCTTCATGACCACCTCACCCTCCCTCCTCTACTCTACTGGGATGTGTCCCTAGGACAACAGGTCTTAAACTTCAATGTATTCAGCAATCATCAGCAAACTTTTGTAAAATGCAAATTCTCCAATCCTACCCCCAGATTCTGATGCAGGAATCTGGAATGATGCCCAAGAATTTGCATTTGTAAAAAGCACTCGGCCCACACCTACGCGATTCTCCCCAATGATCCAGCACACTATAAACCAATGTCTATGGCCTCTGACACTAACAAAGCCATACTCTTCATGGGAAGGCACGGCCCTGGGGCACTTGTATCCACACTAGCTGTTCTCACCTCTATAGCTGACTTGGCTCGTTCAAATTCCACATCAAGGGCAGACGTGTTGTTTCCTGATCTTGTGAACTGATCAACCCAGGCCTCTGAGGTGCCCTGTGACAAAGGCTGATCAGTACCACCTCCACCAGCTTCCCAGTAACACAGAGTGGCTGAAAACCACTGAACACCACCAGCCTGGATGCTCTCAGACTCTTCCCCACCCGCTCACACTCTAGATCCCTTCCCACTGAGCACTAACCCTGCCCTGGGCAGCAGCCTGAGGCGGGCTAGGGAGTGACAGTGTCCTACCTGCTGCTGCATAAACTCTGCTGCCCACTGCTCTGCCTGAGCTCGGCCCGACCCTGCAGCGGACTCCAGGGACACCTGCCCCTCGCCAATCTGCCGCACGAATTTCAGGAACTGGGGCACAGAGACACACATAGGCACCTTGGGACAGGACTTCTGGGTGCACACTCTCAACTATGCCCAAGGAGACCCTGCACTTGACCCTCCCTATGACCATCTCTAGCTGCATCAAGATAATGCTAAATGCCCCGGGTGGGGGGGAAGCAGAGATCAAAGATGGGATTTCTGCCTCTAGAGTTGAGAAGGCACAGAAAAGACAAAGGTTAGAGATAAAGGCATGAGGGAGAAGTGGGCGATGCAGCCAGATCCCAAGTCTCCATTCTCCAGAGGGGGACAGTTCTGGAATCTCATCCCCGTCACAGCACAGTACGGTGGGGGAAGAAGGCTTCTGCCTTCAGTCCCAGCTCCACTGAGCAGAGCGGGAGACGACTCACCTCAGAGTTAGCCAATTTGGGGTCATCCACCTTGGACACAAAGTCACTGGCTGTGTGCTGCAGATCCTCCTCGGGACGGTATTCATCATACCTGGGTGAGGAAGAAAGGCCAAGTCACCCACCCCACTGCCCATGCTCTTTCCCAATCCCAGATCACGGCAAACAGAACTCTTGTGGGGAGAACAATAATCCTATACTACCACCATAAGGAGCTACAAGCTCCTTATAAAGAGATATCTCAGTGGAAGCTGAGAAGTCTTTTTACCCTCTCCTTTGCCGAACACAGCTCTGCAGGGAGGGAGAAGAGAGCAGACGCTCAGGGCAACATGGTGCATAGAGCCACTGACAAATCCCTATGGAACAGTTAGGATCACTACCAATAGGTGAAATACCAAGAACGCTAGCGGCGATGTTAATAAATGAAGTAGAAAAGAAAAAACTGCAAGCTGGATGTGGGTGGAGAATGTGGAGGGACGAGGCTGGGAAAACTGCCCCAAACTATTCTCTTCTCACAGCATCCAGGAAGACACTGGACTCACCATCGATCAGTGGTGGATGTTCCTTCTGGCTCTCCTAACCACAGCTTCTCCTCAGACTGCTCCAGATACTCCTCAGCCCATCGAGCAGGGGACACAGACAAGGGATCTGCAAGAGCAGTTGTGGGACCCATCAAGGCTCCAGGGTAACGACAGAGAAAGAGGAAGTAATATAGACTCACTGACCCTCTTAACCAAACCAACGCAAACAGAACCCCGTAGAGTTCCTGAGAACGAGAAGTCTAATAAACCCCAACAGCCTCTTGGCTGAGCCATTCCCAAGGGGGCTGAATGGAAGTTTACGGAGAGTTGGGAACAAGAGACCTACTAAGGGCGATCAAGAAAGAACGAAGCAATCCCAAGGCTAAACCAGAGGCTCAAAAGCTGCAGGCTATAGAACGAGCCTATCTGTAAAGGAGGGTAGGTGGAGAGGGCTTAGAGTCGGTAAGAGCACTGGCTGCTCTTCCAGAGGACCTGGGTTCAATTCCCAGAACCCATATGGTAGTTTACAGACAGTAACTTTAGTTCCAGGAGCCCCAATGTCCTCTGCTGCCCTTAAGGAAAACAAGCACACAAGTAGGGCACAGACACATAAAATAAAACTTTTAAAGCCTTTATTAGTGTATACATCAGCTACACAAAGTTAGGGCCTCCACATACCATTCCCACACATCCAAACAAAGAGTTTTGATCACATTTACTCCCTTTTGGGGGATGAAGGTGTTGGGATTCCTCTCTATGAAGTCCTGGTTGCCCTGGAGCTCACTACATAGACCAAGCTGGCCTCAAATTCAGAGACCTATCTGCCTATGGCTGGGGTAAAAGACAGGAGCCACCATGCCCAGCCATACAGACACACACACACCCTTTACTACCAAACTTCCCTCTTTTTCCTTTCTTTCCCTTCCCCATCCTTCCAAATCCTTTTCTTTGAAGTCTACAGTCCTCAGTAAGAAGCAGGGAGCATCAGGACTTCCTTACAGGAACTATACACGAAGTATGTGCCAAAGCTGGACACACCGCAGCACTCACAACCCCACCCGGGAAACGTCAGGGGTGCGAATCCTCATCGGCCGCAGGCCCTACACCCACAGATTAACACTGTTCTGGCTCTGTCACTGTGACGTCGCTGTTTTTGTTTTTTGATTGTTTGTTTGTTTGTTTGAGACAAGGTTTCTCTTTGGAGTCTGTCCAGGAACTAGCTCTTATAGACCAGACTGGTCTCAAACTCACAGAGATCCACCTACCTCAGCCTCCCGAGTAATGGAATTAAAGGCGTGCGCCACCACCACCCAACTTTGCTTGGTGTTTTTTAAGATAGGGACTCACTGTGTAACCCAAGATGGCCTTGAACTCAAGATCTTCTGTCACAGCTGGGGTTTACAGGCAGGAGCCATTTGATTCATTTCAAGAGGCCATGATTTTCAGTCAAATTCTAAAGTTATCTTAGAAACTCTAGTGACAAAGGGCACTGTGAGCATGGGAACAAACACTGAACTGTTTCTCAACTCCTTGAACTTTGTCCTACAAAGCAGGGAACAGATTGGTCACTGTGTTGCCGAGGTAGCAGAGAAGGCACAAGCCCAGGTTGGGCTTCCTACTGTGTTCCCATCTTTCCATCCCAGAAGATCTGACTGTCGGCTTTAACACTGAGAAGGCGCCTTATGCCCTTAGTATTGACTACATCCCACTTTACCTAAGACTCAGTCTGAATAATTTCAACAAAGCAATCTCAAAATCTGAGAAAATAATGTCAAAATCTTAAGGCTCTCAGATCACACACCTAATGGGAGGAAGCCATGCATAATTGATGTAATAAAAAAGCATGGTTGAGCCGGGCGGTGGTGGCGCACACCTTCAATCCCAGCACTCAGGAGGCAGAGACAGGCAGATCTCTGTGAGTTCGAGGCCAGCCTGGTCTACAAGAGCTGGTTACAGGACAGCCAGGGCTACATAGAGAAACCCTGTCTCAAGAAACAAAAACTGTATGGTTGGCAACTGTTTAGGTTTACAGATCCTGTGTTTTATTTCAAGAACCCTCAACAACTGCAGGTTCTGTCCTCGGATCCTGCAGGTAACATTTTTCTTCTCCCCTTACTGTAATAGACTGTGGCTCACGTGTGAAGACTGAAAATCAAATGTTTAATATCGAGACGAATTTCAGTAACACCTCCCGGCTCTTGACCTCTCTACTGCCCACTCTCCATTCCCTCCCTGCTCTCACTCGGGCTGTGAGTGGTCAGGACCACAGAGTCACAAGCCACTTCTGTAGAATGTTCTTGCCAACAACAAAACAAAGAAAAACCTAAAGTGCCTGGACTTATCACATGCACACCACACTTCAGGGGGCAAGAAACACAGGTGAGAAGCCTCACCTTAAACTGCGATAATTCAGGGCTAGGCGTGCACATCAGTGTTAAATTCCTGCCTAGCATTTGAAAGGGGGTGAGTTCAATCCCCAACAGCTCAAAACAGTAGTAACAACCACCTAACAGTTTGCCTGAGGCATACGTAATAGTAATAGCGACAACAACCTGACACAGCTTGTCTCAGGACCACACGTAATAGTAACAACAACAACAACCTGACACAAAGAAAAATCTAAAGTGCCTGGACTACACAGTACAAGATGGTATTTCATAGCTGCCCTATGAACCTCACACACTGTAATAGCTGCTCTTGTGCGGCACGCCGCTCCCGCCAGCAGAAGAGACGACCGCAACAGGATTCTTCTCAGAACACACTTTATTGGAGTACTTACACTTGAGGTGGTAGAGAGGCAAAAGACCCCGTCCCCGTGAAGCAGAAGAATATATACGGTGCCAGACAAAGCCCTGACATGTCATCAACCCAATGGCTCAGGCCAGAAAGGAGTGATCGTTTTAAATTATGATTGGCCAGATCAGATGGCCAGATCGAAAGACTCCCCGCGCTGGGGGGGAGCTCGCGCGCATGCGCACAAGTTATCTGTCAAGTTTGATGTGGAACAGCAAACGGCGCCCAGGCTCCGTGCCCACGTCATGACAGCGCCATGGCGCGCGCTACATCTCGGCGCGCTACACTCTTGGTTGTCCACTTGACTACATCTGGAATTAACAAAAACCCAAGAAGCTGGGTACACCTGTGAGGGAGTTTTTCTTAATTAAATCATTTGAAGTGGGAAGACCTACTTTTAATCTCAATCTTTCGAGATGAGACAATCCACCTTTAATCTGGGCCACACCTTCCTCTGGCAGCCTATATAAAGGACAGGAAGGAAGCTAGCTCTCTGTCTGCTCTCCTCATCACTGGCAAGCCAATTCCTTTCCTGGCATTAAAACCTAGTCATTGGGACCGTGGCATACACTGAAGACCAGATGTGACATCTAGCTTCATGAACTAAACGACTACTGGATTCTTAGGCCTCCTGGTAGATATTGTTGGACTAGATGGGCCGCAGCTGTAAGCCACTCTAATAAACCCCTATTGTAGAGGGAGAGGCCCGCTTGTTCGTCGGCCGCCCAGCTATGAGTGTGTCTGTGTGTCTCTGTGTGTGCGCGCGCAAGCATACTCTATAAGTTTCTGTTCCTCTAGAGAACCCTGATTAATACACACAGTATGAAAAGTGAGTCTGTCTAAATTCAGAATACCTATGGGCTGTATTCATCTCCAGATCTGAGTCAGCACAAGATGCAGACTGGCCAGAAAACACGACAGATGCTTCCATCTGTGTGATGGACCGAAAGTGGAGGGGGGAGGGGGAGTCTTGTGTGGTGACGGTCTACCTCTTGACTAGGATGGGACTTATGCAAATCTACACATCTGATGAAGTTGCATAATACTGTTCACACACAGATAATGGCACGTAAAACTGAAGAAAACCAATGAGCTCTAGGGACTGTACCAAAGCGGATCTCCTGATCACCACTGGGAGACTCTGAGGTAGAAACACAAAACTTTCCTCTATGCTTTCTTTTTACTTATTTTTCACCATTACCAGCAAGACTATAAAATTTTCCATATAAAAACAACTAAAATAAAAAGATGAACTTCAATGTTCCTTTTTGAATAATTCTAGATATTAAACATGGGAATTTAAAAGATAAGAACCTACAAAACGTGCCTATAATCCCAGCACTTGGGACACAGAGGCAGATGTGAATTCAAAGCCAGCTCAAACCACACAGTAATACCTTTTCTCAAAAACAAAAACAAAACAAAACAAAATAAGCCAGGTATAAGGACATGTGCCAGCAATCCTAATCGTGAGCAGAGACAGCCGCAAATTCGAGCCAGTCTGGCATCCAAAAGTGAGATTACTGTCTCACAAATACCAAAAAAGTAACTAATTAGTAAGACCTTAAAAAGTATAAAATAATTTGTCTCAAATCTATTTATCCATAAAACAATAGTTAACTTATATCACTGACCTATCAGCTACAAACACGGGAAAGCCATTTTAAAGCAGGAATCCTGGGGCTGCAGAGATGGCTCTGTGGTTAGAGCACTGGCTTATTAAAGGGTTCTTCCAGGTGACCTGGGTTCAATTTCCAGGCCCCATTTGGCAGCTAACAACAGTCTCCAACTCCAATGCTAGGGGATTTGACACCCTTTTCTGACTTCTGCAGGTAATGCATATATGTGGCACACAGACAACCATGCAGGCAGAAGACCCATACACATAAAATAATAAATCTTTTAAATAAATAAAATATAAGTTCCTAGAAAATCAGTTTCTTTTAGCTTTTGTTCCTAAATCTCCATCCATCCATACATTCACTATCTGAGGCCTACTACAATAGGACAATTTTATAGAGCCCAATTTCACACAGCAATCTCAGGTGCCCACATCCGGGCCTCTGGGAAGTGGGCACAGTTGCCAACGAATGTGCAAAACAGACGGGCTCTCCAAAGACAACAAACAGGTGAGGCAGGTCCGACATGTTTTCCTAAGGCTGCTCTCAGCTGTGAGTTAGGGAGGATTCCACAGGCAGGAAGCAATTACTTACAATAAACTCAGGCTCATATTGTGCTTAGCTGCACGAACGGTTTGATTTTTGTTTTGTATTTTTGTCTGCTAGCTTTAAATTATGGAAATGACTGATGCCCACCCATTCCAACAGAAGTCTGTACTAAGATGTATCACTTAAGGTTAAGGTTTGTGTGGACACCTGAAAGGCCCTGTCTAGCAGAGGGTCTTTGTATAGCTCAAATCTTGACTTGAGGCAATTCCACACGGAAGACTTGAGAGTAATCTAAAATTGAGATTTTGAAATAATAGTTCAAAAAGTATGGCACCTGGGTATCACATCTCCTACTGACACTTTGTAAGAGGGTTCCAAATCTCCGTCTAGCAGAGAGTGCTTAAAACTAAAGCGCTCCCTAGAGCACTGTCTGCACCTTACTTGAGGAAAGGGTGTCTGGAGCGGCTTACACTAGTGGTTGAGCATTTCTCCTGAGCGCAGAGAAGTCCTGCCTTCAGGAGACAAGAAATGGTCAGAGGAGAAGCCAACCAAGTCCCATTAGCTTCAACTATTCAGGACCCCATGACTGCCTGAAAGGCTAGAATCTTTGTAACTTTCTCCATTGGTATCTCTTCTCATCCTTGGATTTCTCAAAGCAAAAGAAACAAACAGTGCTTCTCTCAGTGAGCAGTCAGGAGGAGGAAGGCTGAAGCCTGCCCTTCCCCTCTGCCCTAATCTGATAGGTATGGGGGAGAAAAGTCAATCCGCTGGGAGGCACTGAGTGGAAGATGCCCCAAAGACCATACAGGGCTAAGACTAAGTGTGTAGCCAAGAGAGAAAGAACATAAAGTACAGGCAAGACACACTGACAGCTTGGGTCACAGTCAAACCCCCACTACACCCCAGGGAGAAAGCTAAACAATGTGCTGTCAGACACCTCCTGAATACCTATGCTCAGGCCATGGTCAGTGCTGCCCTCAACCTTGGCCAGGGAAGTGAATCTCTGCAGTGGTCAGCAGGGAAGACTGAGACTTGGAACTGGTCAAAGTGCTGAGAAAAATTATCAATCACTCAGCCCTATATGGGACATCTATCCTAATCCCCCTGCCCACGGGAAATCTCAGAAGAGGGGGTGGAGAGAATGTAGAAACCAGAGGATGGATTGGGGTGCTGTGACATACTGTCTTCAGGACATAATGTGTCCACTGCACCCACAGACTCATTTCAGCTGTACTCACCTGGGCGAGAGCAAGTCAAGGAGATCAGGTGACCCCTGACAGGCAGCATTAACCGACTCAGTGGGTTATCAACAAAAAAGGAGAAACAAAGAAAGAGAGAAAGAAAGGAAAAGAGAGGAAAGGACACGAAAGGGAAGCAGGGCATGTTGAGGTATCTAGACGGAGGAGAGGGAGGAGTCAGGAGTTCTTCCAGAGAGTTGAGGTTACATACAACCAAGATAAACTGTTTACATGTATGAAAATGCCTAAGAATAAATAAAAGCTATTCTATTAAAAACAAAAAACTATTACAATACAGTGCTATCGTAAGCAAGTTACTTTACCTCAAAAACTCAATATTCTTATCTGTAAAGTGGTTCTAAAAACAATAGTTAGAACTTAGGTTCTCATGGAGCTTAAATAAGCAACATATTCGGTGCACTTAACACAGAGCGCAGAACACAGTAAGTACACAGAAGCTAATACTGTCCTTATCATTAGAGATGGTCTTTCCCTCAAAGCCTAGTCATTCTTCAATATCCACGAAAGAATGATTCCTGGAACTCACACAGACACAAAATGCTGAAGATTCAGGCCTCTTAGGAAATGATCTATTCGCAGAGAACCCACTCACAACCTTCCATTACTTTAACATCTCTAGATGACTTATAATACCCAATGTAATAGAAATGCTATGTATATAGTAATTACGTGGATTAGGAAATAATAAACACACACACACACGCATACACACTAATGGCCAGGCACAGTGGTTCATACCTGTGCTAAGAGGCTATCCTAGGAAGATCTCAGTTATGTAGGGATTTGGAGGACAGCCTGGTCTACAACAGCCCAGTCTAAAGACTCAAAAGGTATGTATACTCTTCCAAACATTTTCCATCCACAATTTGTTCAATCTACAGATGAGAAACCTACAGCTACACAGATGGCCTAGCTATACTTTAAGTTTCTGAACCCCACAATCCTACTTTCCCAGACCCCAATTCTACTCAAGATGCCTGGATGCCAGACTCGCAGATGCTACGGTGACGATTTCTCTCTTCCAGGACCATTCATCCGATCTCCAGCTCCTCTCCACTAGACTAAAGCCGACAAGTGTCTGAGGAAGAGGCAGACCTAAGCGCTCATTCACATTCTCATTCTCCTCTCTCTCACGCTCTCCCTCCTCCCTCCCCCTCCTTTTTTCTTCATTCAAACCCGGTTTTCTCTTTAATGTTTTCATTCCCTACAACCACTACAAGAAGTCACATCTAGTACCCCATAGAAACAAATCAAGTTAGAAAAGTCATTACAGCCCAAATCACCTCAGACCCTAAGAGGAGTCAGGACTTCAGATCAGAACCTTCCAATGCTCCATCACTAGTACCGATTCCCCTCAAGCCTCACCTGTAACTTCGGCAATGAACTCTTGAGACCAGTCAGTCTCATTATAGTCCTGAGCTACATCCACAGCATCTCCAGCGGCAAGAAACTCCTGGGCCCAGTTCTCAGACAAGGCCAAGTCTGCTACACCGGGGGCTGAAGAGAGACAAGAGACAAGAGACGACTAAGAAAAACGGAAACAAGTACCCGTCACTGCTGGATGCCACCTCCTTTGTCTCCTTAGTCTGCTGATACCAGCAAAATCAAAGGATGGAGCATTCTGGCCTCCATGCACAGAAAACACTGGCCTTCGCAACAAGCCCTCACCCCACCTCTCTGAGGAGCCTGGCGAAAGCTTGACTGTTCAATCTCCTGCATCTCTGCCAGGAGATCATCCATCTTGAAGGTCTGAGGGGCACGGGATACAAGGGGTGCATTCTGGTCCTGCAGGAATTCTGCCACCAACTATTGTAAAGAGATGGTGAGATGAGCCATTAGGATCAGGACACCTCAGCAAAGGGATAGGGCCAACTGGATGGGGCTACTGATGTCAGATAGAAAGAAAAACAGAAACTGGAGACAATAAAGAAAAAAATCTATATGTAAATTTGGAAACCAAAACCAGTAGAAGAAAACATTGGCACACAGATCTCATTTGGTGAAGAGAGTTCAAAGTGACGTACGAGTAGACTGTTTAAAGGTTTAAAAAAAAATAACTATGGACCAACAAGAAAAAATGGAGAGAGGCAGAAAAGAAACTTGTTTTATTTACCTCATCTTCAGAACCTACTCCCAGAGGCTTGGAAACCTAAGAAAGGAAGAAGAAAAGAGGCAATATACACACTGATGAAGGCCACAGACTTACGCTGTACAGCCCAACTCTAAGTCTACTGCTTAGGTGACCTGAAGCAAGCCAAGAGCCTTCACAGAGCCTCGGCTTCTCTTTCTAGAAAATACTTGTCCTCGGCCGAGGAGCACACCTTTAATCCCAGCACTTGGGAGGCAGAGGCAGGCAGATCTCTGTGAGTTCGAGGCCACCTACAAGAGCTAGTTCCAAGACGGGTGGTGGTGGTGAACGCCTTTAATCCCAGCACTCGGGAGGCAGGCTAGCCTGGTCTACAGTGAGTTCCAGGATAGGCTTCAAAGCTACAAAGCTACTTCTCAAAACAAACAAACAAAACAAAACAAAAAAAGAATAAAAAAGCTAGTTCCAGGACAGGTTCCAAAGCAACACAGAGAAACCTTGTCTCAAAAAAACAAAACACACACACACACACACACACACACAAATAGTTATCCTCATCTGTGTGTCCTCATCTGCTCACTCCGGTGTCTGTGACAACAGAGAAAGCAGCTATTGGGCCCACAAATGGGCTCCCCTGCTCTAGAACACTCACCGTCTCCGCTGCAGAGGCTCCCGGGGGCCAGGGGCCAGGCCTCAGTCCCTCCTGCCGAAGGGCCTTGTCCTGGGTGAAGTGGGTGGCCAGCTTCATGAGCGGGTTGGCACCCCCACATTCGCCCTCCACCAGCTCTCGCATTGCCATGGTGACCACCAGCTCCCTGATGGACAGAAGATTAGAACTGTGGTCCCAAGGCCAGACTTTACCAACGCACGCCCCAGCACCTATCTAAAGCAAGGGGGCCCACGACGGTCCCACGAGGGGCCAGGCCTCCGGGGCCAGGCGACCTGCGGCTGGCCACCCCCTAGCTGTGTCCGGAGCCCATGGGGAGTCTGATTCCTCCCGCCTCCCCACTTCAAGCCACGGCTTTCGGCTTGGGGTCCTCCCGCAGCTGTCACGACTGCATCTCAGACACCACCCGCCCACTGCAGCCTGACAAATGGGCCCGGACCCCTGGGGAGCACGGGTAAAGGCGTCACCAACCCGGCTAGACGGGGACTCTGACCGGACAAGAGAGAGCGGGAACGCCGCCGACCGGACACCTGGACCAAGTCTGGGGTGCGCGGCGGGACCCGATCCCGGTCCGCGTCACCTGAGCCCCTCCTCCGCCGTGCCCGTCCGGGCCCAGCGCCCCGCGCCCCCCTGGCCCGCTGGCCCCGCCCCCGCCCCGCAAGGCCACCGCAGCAGCCGAGACTCGCGGGCCCCGACCCCGCGCCCCCTAGGCTCCGACGCTCACCGCCGCGGGCCGCACCGTAGGACCCACCGGGCCACCCGGGGTGGGCTGGGGGAGGGGAGTGGGCGGGAGCCAGGGGGCGGGGCTCGGCCTTAAAGGGACCCGGACCGGCGCGCTGCGGCCCTGCTCAACGGAAGCGGGTGAGGGGGCGGGGCCTTCAGCGGCGCGGCGTGAGAGGCGGAGCCAAGAGCCTTAAAGGGGAAGTCCTGGGCAGTTGGCACGGGTAGGGCTCGAGCAGTCCCTAGAACGCCAGGATTTATTTTGTGGAAAATGCGGAGGAATGGAGCTAGGAGAGGCTTCTAGGGCTTTAGCGGAAAACCAAGGTTGCAGAGTCCAAGGCTCAGCTCTCTTTCCTGGGTCTTCTCTTTCTCTAAATCGCCCAAACAGAACCTGTGACCTGCATCGGCCTTGTAGATCTGACCCCCTACCGCTGTGCTCCTGGACAGCGTCACAACCTCCAAGGAGACAGAGACTTGCCCCCAGTTTCTCTCCCATGCCTGTGTAATGAGGAAAATAGCGCCGGATGATGACAAATTCTGGTGACTAAAATAGGGTCCTACGCATTCTAAGACCTCAAACCGGCAATGGACGGGGAAGGTGCAGTGAGTCACTCCTCTCCTTCCAGCGTCTCACTGGTCAAGGTCATGATGGCCTGATTCCTCCAAGCAGGGAGAACATACCTTTGAGGAGGGAATATGAACCTAAGCCTCAGGCTCCACCATCTGCCAGAAAACCTGGCTTGGGTGCCAAACCTCAGGGTCACTGGGAAACAAACCTTGCGACCTCACCTAGGCCCCAGACCAAGGGACTCCCTGACGTTTTAGGGAAGGGGAGGGATTCAGAGTGCCTTTAGGTGGGCAAAGGCCAGCCTGTCCCAGTCCGAACTGCGGGAGCCGAGATAGTCAGCAGGTGGCGCCCTGGGACCGGCTTGATCTTTGCGGCAAAGGTAGCCTTCTTTGGGGAAAACGGCTGTATAAATTCATCCCTAGGAAGCTAAAAATTGCCCTTATAAAGTGTTGAACAAGGCAGTGTTTCTGTCTTTAGGACATTGTCAGTATCTTTCAGAGGCCCTAACTCCATTCTCCTATTGACGACAAATCCCAGCCCTTGGCTGTCCCCACTGTTCCCAAGCTACCATTGTAACGAGAAAAATAAATAAATAAACCTAGCATCTAATAAACTGACCACACCAACAAGAAAAGGACACCCTCTTGGAAGATGAACACTTTAAACAGGAGGCTTTCTGGAGAAAGCAGTGTTTAAGGAAAGTATGTGATGTTTGAATTTCAGAACATCAGGGAAACAAGAAAGCATCTCCCAATAGCACTCAAAGCACACAACACATATAACCTTCTGCTCTGCTAGGACGTTTAGTAACTGATTAGCAGTAATTCACTATGCCAAGCCTCTGGGAGAATGGTTGTAATAACTGAAGCTTTATGAAATGCCTGTTAAACCCCAAGTGTTACACTAAACACTTGGTGAACATTAGCACTTTTAATCATCATAATCTTCATAATACCCCAATGAAAAAGATATCACTAACCGTGTTTTACAAATAAGACTCGCCCGAAATAAAGCATCTAGGAAGTCAGAATTCACTCAAGCAGAGCTGGCAGGATGGCTCAGCAGGTAGAGGCATTTGCACACAGGCCCGATGACCTAAATTTAATCCCCTGATCCCACAAAGTGGCAGAGAGAACTTACTATCTCTGAGAGTTGTCCTCTGACCTCTACACACACACAAATACACACATACACACACCACATTTTGATCAGTGTGAGCATAACTTTAGACACTGACCCATATACAATTCTGCCTCCCAGACTTGGAGAGAGATCTTTCTTGTAGACCCTAAAGCATTGATATAAGCCAAAGACTTCTCACAGAGCCTGGCCCACAACCCCAGAGGTGCTGGGAGAAGACGAGATTAAGTTATGTGGGTGCTAATCTTTTGACATTTAGCTTATCGAGGTTCTAAATCAAATCTTCTCTAAGTTCAACCTTAAAATCATACTTGTATCCATAAAAGAAATAATTTAAATAAAGGTAAACATTCCTTAATATTTAGCAAATTGAACAGGCTGAAGTCCTCTAATTTTCAGACACGTTGGCCACATGCCAGCTGTGCTTTTAACAGTTTTCAAGTATTGACTTATGTAATCCACTTAATAACCATTAATATTAAGCGGTCCCCATTTAACAGGTGAGGAAACTGAGACTCAGAAACCTTGAGACTTGCCCAGGATTGTGATACGAGTTTTAAGAGCTGGGATTTGAACCTAAGCCAGTGCTATCAAAGTTTATAAAGAGCCAAACAATGAGCACATCTGGATCCATGTCGGCTGTCCCAGCTCCTCCTCTGTGCTGCTATTTCACAATAGAGCCAGGGGACCAGCATGGCCGAGTTCTAGTCCAAGTTCTTACGAGCTCTGAAGCCAGTTTGGCATCATTCTCGTGGCATACATTCTTTTGACCTTGAAGTAAAAGTGTTTTAAAATGCCAAAAAAAAAAAAAAAACCTTAGCTTTTAGACTCTGCAAAAACAAGGAACAGGCCAGGCCCTGCTTTGCTGACCTCTGACCTAGAAATTTCAGTTCCAGAGTTCATATTCTTTTTTTTTCTTTTTCTTTTTTTTAAATTAGTGTTTTGCCTGTTTGTACGTCTGTGTGAGGGTGTTCAATCCTAGAGTTACAGACAGTTGTGAGCTGCCATAAGGGTACTGGGAATAGAACCCGGATCCTCTGGAAGAGCAATCAGCAATCTTAACTACCAAGCCATTTCTCCAGCCCCTTTTAAATGTGAGCCCAGGCTGGCCTCAAACTCGTGATCCTCCTGCCTCTGCCTCCTTTATTAAATCCTGCTGGCATGAGCCACCACAACCCGCATCCATATTCTTATAGACTAGGCTATACACTTGCCTTTGTGTTTGGCTTGTTTTCATTTTTGTGGCGGGGTCACACTGTGTAGCCCAGGCCAGCCTCACACTTACTGCAGTCCTCCTGCCTCAGTACCCTGTGTGCTAGGATCATAGGGCATGAGCTGTTTGTCTAGTTCGGGTGGGGAGGGGCATTATGATCATTCTCATGTAGCTCAGGCTAGCCTTGAATTCCTGGTCCCGTTTCTACCTTCTGAGAGCTGGGATTGCACACATGTGATGCCACATCTAACCCGTTACCCTCTTTTTCAGAGATGAGCTCTGTCCCTGCCGTGGATCCCTAGGCCAATTCCCTAATCAATAACAAAGTCTAGCTCAAGATATAACTTTCTGTAGTTTGTGTCCTTTAAGTGCCAATAATGTACACAATTTCACTTGCGTAAACAAATGTCTTTGTGTGTTTTCAAGCCCACATTCTTTTCTATTGAAGGGCTATGCTTTAGCATGTTTTTGAGCCCGTTGTGGTGGCCCACGCCGGTAGGCTTTGCTGAAGGAGGCAGAAGCAGGAGGATCACGAGTTCGAGGCCAGCCTAGCATGTTTTTGTTGTTGTTGCTGCTGCTGCTGCTGTTGCTGTTGTCAAGATGAGGATCCAGCCAAGCGTGGTGGCCCTGCACACCTTTGACCTCAGCACTCAGGAGGCAGAGGCAGGCAGCTCTCTGTGAGTTTGAGGCTAGCCTGAACTACATAATGAGTTCCAGGACAACTAGGGCTTTGTAGAGATATCCTGTCTCAAAAAATAAAAAAATTGAGGCTCTAACTCAGGGCCTTGCCATGCTATACGTCCCTAGCATGGGCCACCCCCAGCTACGTTTCTTCAGTATTTTATTTAAACAGATGCAGAAATACGAGCAGTCTCCACACTCTAGAAATAGAAAAACCAAGGTCTGGTCTTCATACAAGCACGTTTGGAAGGATCTGTGGGTTACAACTGCCGATCACTCTTTTCAGCCTTAGTAGTCATCCCTGACAGAGGCAATGAGGCAACAGAAGAGAGCTGTGTGTGTGGTAAGATGCAGCCGTTCCCAAAGCCAGGGCCCCTGAACACACTCTGGGAACCGCAGTCTGCTTTAGTTGTTCGGAGTGGCAGCAAGAAGAAAGTGCAGGGCATATCCATCCAGTACCGCACACCACAGCATTGTTGTCCTGGGTCAGTAAGAAGAAAGTGCAGGGCATATCCATATCCAGTACCGCACACCACAGCACTGTTGTCCTGGGTCTGAGCTCTAGGGGAGAATCTGATTCACAGCCCTCCAGTTACAGTCGCATTAGCTGCAGTAACTGCTCTGGCTTTTGTCCTGTTTTCTCATCAACAGCACAGGAGTGGAGCCTCTGCCTCCCAAGAGCTGGGATTAAAGGCTGTGCCAGCACCGCCCGCCTTCAACTAATCTTAATAGGCTTCAGTAGTGTGCAAACAAGGAGGATTTCTGGGGAGTGGCATGGGACTCTGGCGGACAACAAGCTATCTTGAAGGGCAGGACAAAGACCCCAAACACACCTTCTCCCAGTGGGACAGGACACTCCAGCATTCCAAAGCAACAAATTAGTTTTCACCTTTTCCTTAAGTGAAGAAAGTTATGCCTGATCTCGAAATGCCCCCAGATTCTCGAGGTGCTTCTTTTTTTTTTTTTTTTTTTTTTTTTTTTTTTTTTTTTTTTTNTTTTTTGATTTTCAAGACAGGGTTTCTCCGTAGCTTTTGGTTCCTGTCCTGGAACTAGCTCTTGTAGACCAGGCTGGCTTTGAACTCTCAGAGATCCACCAGACTCTGCCTCTCGAGTGCTGGGATTAAAGGCGTGCACCACCACTGCCCGGCGAGGTGCTTCTTTTTTCCCCTAAATATTGCTATAACTCTCAACACCTAAATAGCCTGTCAAGGATCCAAACCACGGGGTCACCATGCCTAACTATAAAAATCAGAGCTAGCCAGGCGGTGGTGGCGCACGCCATTAATCCAGCACTTGGGAGGCAGAGGCAGGTGGATCTCTGTGAGTTCAAGGCCAGCCTGGTCTACAAGACCTAGTTCTAGGACAGGTTCCAAAGCTACAGAGAAACTGTCTCAAAAAAAAAAAAAAAGTCAGAGCTGTGGGAAGACTCTCTCTCTCTCTCTCTCTCTCTCACACACACACACAGTAATACAAGAATGACCTTATTTCTGTTGGGTTTTGAGCAGTGATAATCATGTTCTGAGTGCAGAGAAAGAAAGCATAAAAGATATGAGGTCAAGTTCAAATTTCAGTTTATTGTTGTTAAACCAAAGTCAGAGGACGTAGTTTTATTTTGTGGGACAAGCTTGCTGATACAATCCCAGTTGGAAGTCCGGGGCTTGGCACAGCTTCCCAGGGAACCCTGAGGTCTCTGGAGCCGACACAGTTTTCCAGAACATCGGACCTGTTGGAAGGAAAGGAAGTTCTCACACTTCTCCTAGATTAGTTTCCCCACTTTGAAAACCATGGCTTGCTGAATGTCAGCTCACCAGATGTCAGATGGCTCGCCCTCCTGTGGGAGAGGGGGGCCAGTAGCACCAAGCCTCCTGAGGGAAGGAGAACAACCACTCCTTATCTGTTTCCCTTTATCTGCTGATCTTGGGCATCTGTTAAGCCTGTTGTCAACCAAAGGTGTGGCGACTTCTCTAAAAACAGAGCTGTTCCCCTGACACTACTTCCCAGTGATCGCCACCACTCCTCTAGGAATCGGCCTAGAGCAAGATGGACGACTTAGCTTTTCCTCCCAGAAGGTCCAAGACTGGGTGGAAACTTCAGATTTGTTCAATTACTTCAAGGTTACTCTGTGCCTAAGGTGACCTTCTGGTTCATAGTTGATTCCTTCTCGTCCTCGCGGATGGTCAGCCTTGTTACCCACTGTAATTCACAGGAAGTCATACAGAAAGACTGAATAAAGTGATAGAAACACCTCAGTAATATCTTGGTGTCATTTATTTAAAGTGTGTCTGGGCATGGTGGCTCACATGGTAACCTCAGCACTCAGGAAACTGAAGCAGGAGGATTGCCACAAGTTCTAGGCCAGCCCAAACTACAAAATGACTAATAGGCCAGCCAAACCTACAGAATGAAACCCTGGAGAGAAAGAGGGGGATGGAGGAGGAGTGGGATGTAGTAGCATTTCATTTGTATTTTAACAAATAAAGTTTGCCTTGAAGATCAGAGAGTAAAACAGCCCCACTGGCCAGGTTTACAGACTAGGCAATAGTAACACACACCTTTAATCCCAGTAGCCACACTAGTTGCCATAGAAACCAGGTGGTGCATGCCTTTGATTCCAGTGCTGCATACCTTTAATCCCAGAACCAGAGAGGATTATAAAACAGAAGACAGCTCTCAGTCATAGTCTCATTCTGAGATTCCCGGAGGCAAGATCGCCATTTTCGGACTGAGGTCGAGGTAAGAGCCAGTGGCTGACTGCTTTGCTTGTGGATCTCCAGGTTGAACCCCAGTTTCTCTCTCCGAGTTTTTATTAGTTGTGCTTCAAATGGAGAGAATAAAATACACAAATTTTTAATATACATAGCTTTTAACATATTTTTTCATGTTTGTATTAAAACAGTATGTAGAGCCATTGAGATGCCTCAGCAGTTAAAAACGCTTTCTACCAAGCCTCATGACCTCAGCTCAGTCCCTGGAACCCACATACAAAAGAAGAAAACCAACTCCTGGAAGCTGACCTCTGACCTCCACGCAAGTTCTGTGTAGTGCACATACACATGTACACATACAAAATCAACAATGCTAAAAAGTATAATAATATGTCACAGGTGATACCCAGCTTTATAAGAATATGTCACGGGTGATACCCAGCTTTATAGCTGTCATATGGGCCACTTGTCTGTGTTTTAGTTTAGTGTATTAATTGTACAAAGCAATGTACAGTTGCATTGTTTTCCATGTGGACAAATGTAATGTACCTTACATCCCCATACATGTATATAATATATTTTGATCATTCATTCTGATGTAGGATTTCCCTCTGTATGCTGTGATTACCATTAATAAATAAAGGAACTGCTTTGGGCCTATAGCAGAGCTATACGGGAACAGAGCTAGGTGGGGAAAACTAAACAGAATGCTGGGAGAAAGGAGGCAGAGTCACGGAGAAGCCATGTAGCCCCGCCGGAGCCAGACAGAACTTTAGCCAGTAAACCACAATCATGTGGCCATACACAGACGAATAGAAATGGGTTAAATTAATATGTAAGAGTCAGCCAATAAGAAGTTAGAGCTAATGGGCCAAGCAGTGATTTAATTAATATGGTTTCTGTGTGATTATTTAGGTTCTGGGTGGCCGGGACAAACAAGCGGCCTCCTCCAGCATCATTCCACTTGACTCTCCTGTCCACCCTTCTCCTCCCTCTGGTCCCCTTCCTCTCCTCCAATAGTCCCCCTTCTCTCACATCTTTTATTTTTTCACTCACGAATTAAAAGGGGCAACTTAGGTCAGAAAGCAAAATGATTCTTCATGCTGTGTACAAAATACACATTTAAAATAAACTCATTCGGAGATGGTTAAGATAATAAGAGTAGATAAAAGAAAGCACAACTAAACAAAAAGAAAGAATTACAAGATAAACATCAAAATAAATTCAGGTCTAAAAGCACTACATGAGGGAAAACACCTCATAATTCTAACATGTACAGCTCCCAGTGAAGACAGTACTCTTTATAAACATCCAGACAGCAAAGGAGGGGCTGTATGTAACTCATGCGCAGTTCTAGAGATCAGCTTCCGTCACAGTCTGAGATGGGCAGGTAGCGTGGGGCTAGGACTACTCACAATGGCTAAGCTGTGGAACAGCCTAGGTGTCCAACAGCAGAGGAATAGATAGAATGTGGCCAAGGACACCATCGAACTGTCTCAGCCATGAACTAGAACGAAGCTAGGCTGTTTGCAGGAAAATGGATGTGACCAAGGCAGTCACGTTAAAGCAAATGAAGCCAGTCTCACAACAAAGACATGGATGTCTTCTCTCATCAGTGGCCCTATATTTTAAAAATATTTATTTATTTATTATGTATATAATATTCTGTCTGTGTGCATGCCTGCAGGCCAGAAGAGGGCACCAGACCTCATTACAGATGCTTGTGAGCCACCATGTGGTTGCTGGGAATTGAACTCAGGACCTTTGGAAGAGCAGGCAATGCTCTTAACCGCTGAGCCATCTCTCCAGCCCCCTATATTTTATATAGTCAAATAAAACCATGTGTGTGTTTGTGTGTTTATCTAAAAAGAAATTAGAATTGAAAATGTCTAGAGACAAACAGGAGAGGAGCAGACAATGGAGATGAAGGCACTATGGCAGAATTTGTTCAGTATAGGTGAATTTTTATAGTTTATTTATTTGGGTTTATGAGTGTAGGTGATTCATCTACATGTATATCTGTGCATGCCTTGTGCCCACAGACACTAGAGGAGAGCATGAGGTCCCCCTGTAACTGCAGTTACAGGTGGTTGCGAGGCACCGTGTGAGTATTAGGAATCAAACCTGGGTCTTCTAGAAGTGCTCTTAAGTCCTGAGCTGTCTCCCCAGCCCAGATTTTTTTAAATAAATAAATACTCATGTGTAATCAGTGTGTAACGTGTTTGCCACACAAGTATGAGTACTTGACTTTAGATCACCAGCAACATGCAGAAAGCTGGGCATGCCACTGTCCACCTGCAGACCCAGAACCGGGGAGGCAGAGACAGGAAGACCCTGGTGCTTGCTGGTCAGCCAGGAGCCAAACTGATGAGCTTGCCTCTACACTCATATGCACACACATATACACACATGTGCATACACATATGTATGCACCCAAATACAAACGTACACATAAACATGAACATCTAGGCATACAACACATACTATAAATAATAGAAGATAGATAGATAGATAGATAGATAGATGATAGTTAGATAAAATAGAACCTCATTTACAGAGGAAAAAATAATAAAGAAGGTTCACGGTGTGTGTCTGTAACCCTAGAACTCAGAAGGCTGAGATAGGATTTTAAATTTCAAACCAGATTGGACTACAAAGTAAGACCTTGCCACACACACACACAAAAAGACCAAACCAACAACATTAAGTATACTTGGCTTTGAAATTGGTGTACAGTGAAAATAAATAGACATATCAAAAGTATGATCATTGAAGAAAATAATAAACCATTAAGAAAAAACTTAGTCATGCAGGGTAGTGATAGCATACTAATCCCAGCACTAACTAAAGAGGCGGAGGCAGGAAGATCTCTTGAGTTCGAGGCCAGTCTGACCTACAAAGTGAGTTCCGTGATAGTTAGGACTGTCTCAAAAACAAACAAAGCAAACAAACAACAAAGACCTGGCAAGAGAAAAGGGTTATAGCATGAAAAAGAGAAAATTATCACAGAAAAATTTTTAAAAAGCCTCTGTTTTTACATATGAGATGTCATACTTAGCTCAACTCTGTAGCCCAGGGTCGAGGAGCCTGGGAAAAGCACTCTGATGTCATCAGCAAATGCTTCAGGACAAACATCTCCCAGGCAGACAAGAGAAGCTCCACTGCACGGAAATAGCTGCAAAGGCTGTGGGGACAGACAGCATTCAGATCACCTGTCTCCAGGCCATAGGTCACCATAGGGATCACATGTAGAACACTGCAAGCAGAAACTAGGAAGGTTGAGCTGGGTGTCAGTCTTGAACAGGTAATGTCTGTCTCTACAGTAAGCAGACCAGAAGCGGTATTTGCTGACTAAAGGGATCTACTGTTAGCAAAACAGCCGGCTGATTGCTCAACACCCACCCTTCCTCACTATGGTCAAGAGACCAAACTACATTTCCCAGCCTCCTCTACTGTTAAAATGCCCATAGTATTAGTATTAGCTAGTGAGCCATAAGAAGAATGGTAAATGCTGTCCCAGGCCTTCCTTTTGTAATCCTCCCAAGTGCCATCCTCCAACTCTAATCCTTCCCAATTTGACGCAACCGTTCTTGTACAGCAACCTTTGGAAGCCTCGGATTAAGAGCAACAATGGGCTCTTTAATTCAAAACCGATCACCCCAAACACAATGGTGTCCCCAGAGGCTTGCCACAACCTAAACCCCATTTTCTCATGTCTAAAGTCCCTTATCTGAAACTCTTGGACCAAGTTTAATTTAGTATTCAGGAATTGGGGAACTTCAATAAGGCAATGTATTATCTGAGTGCATATTAGTTATGCATCATCCCCAGGGAGGTTTGGAGCAGCGTCCTAAAACCAAACATCCTAATGTTTCTTCAGCAACATTCCTCTGATAATTACTCTGAGGCTAGTCTCACCATGACAAACGGCCTCAAGAGCGGTTCAGGGAAGGCATTAACACACATGAATTTTGGCATCAAAATCGACAACATGTTTAATAAGTGTTTGCTTGAAACATATCTGGCTTTGGTTTCCAGAGCTCTGTGGACTTCCAAGTTGCAAGTAAAAGGCCTCGTGCAGTATATAGAGTCAAAGCCCACAACCAACCTGGGAGAGCGGAAGAAAATCTTGACTGGGTGTGGGGACTTGCTGGTGACATGCTGGTGACTATGAAACTAAACTCTACCAGGAGCATTCTCAGAGGTTGGTGTGGCTGGATATTCACAAGCCCACCAGTATATGAATGGCAATGGGGGTGAGGAGATGTAACTCAGTTCTGTGCTAACATCACTGGCAATCTCTCCAACAGTCTGCCCTTCTGGTTCCTAGGATCAGGCCCCCCCAGTGCTGTAGCCATTTCCTCTGAGTGAAACATTCCCTTCTGACAGGAGGAGAGAAGAGGAGCCCACACATATCACCAGGATCTGGAAGCTCGGACATTAACTCACAGTCCGGGCCCCACGTTAGGTGAGCAGGACAACGCTGGAGACAGACCCTTGCTGGTTGAAAGGCTGACAGGTTGTGCGGGGAGCTCCAGGGACACAGCCTTTATGAGTCCTCACCCTGCTGGTGTGGGCTTTTTGGGGCTGCAGCTGCCTTGAGTCACTCTAAAGGAACTTCTAACAAACTCACTCCTGGAAGAAAGCCCAGCAGACTCGCTGGATCACCCACCGCTGGAGACGCCGGCAAAGTTGTTTCTTCCGTCTGTGGCCGGTGTTCTATTGGGGTGACTGGACATTTGCTTACGTCTTCCCAGAAAAAAAAAAAAAAAAAAAAAAAAACACCCAATAGACAGTGGCTATAGACCTGAACTCCAAAGAAAGGATTATCCCGCCAAGATCTCGGTGTGGCTTTTAGTCTTCCACTTTCCAGTCGCTGTGTCTGGGGAGATGTAAAAGAATTGCCTATTCACTCCCAAGAGGGAGAAAGCAAACGGATCAAAGGAAGATTCCACCCAGCCCTGCTTGGTGAATAATGAGTGTGAAGAGGCCACAGGAGCATGAGGAACATGGCAGCTGCCCTGGGAGGAGACCCCTCAAGTCAGTCTTGAATCTTTTACATAATTTAGATTATTCTGGCTGGTAGTGATGACAGGACTCTTATGGGAGAATCTGGTGACTCTCTCTCCTTTCCAATTCAGAACCTTAACACCTCCATCAGTTAGAAACAAGATGTGTGCCTGCAGTCCCAGAGTTCAAGAGGACCAAGGGTTCAAGGTCATTCCCTGTACACAGTGAATTAAAGCCCATACTACATGAGAAACTCTCAAGAAAAAAATACATTATCGTAGACCTGGCTATTCGTGTTTAACTTTATGTCATTGACAAGGTCACCTGTTGGTCACCACAGCCGTTGGCTTCATAATGGCAATGGTCACGTCCTGGTCAGAGGACACAGACACTTGCTCTGTCATGGACTCTACAGCAGCTCTGAGGGACCGTCTCAAAATGATGTGCTGGACTTCAGATGTATCTCTGAATCCAACTCTGAGATTTCCTTGGATCCCTTACATTTTCTCATGCAAGAGCTGACACATGCTTACACACACACACACACACATGCACACACACATAATTATGAATATGTTAATGTGTATTTTGTGTGGAAAAGACTTATTTCTGGTTAACTAGATTTTAAATGAATAATTAACTTACTGAAATTGTAAGTAGATAATCTGATTTCACTTAAGCCTCTAAATTCAACCTTGCTATTTGCTGTATAATTGTACTAAATATCATGTTTTCAAATCCCTTCTGCTTCTTCTTTTGTTGGGGACTGTGGACCCCCAGACCCTGAATTTCCTGTAAACAGCTTGTTTTTCTATGCTTGCAGCTGCTCCGAGCAAAACAACTTGTTTTCCTATGCTTACAGCTCCTCTGAGCGTGAGACAGGGGAGTGGTTTCTGGTGGGCTTGCAGCTGAGAGTTGGGGCGTGGCCCTTGGTCAAGGAGACCCTATGTAAGCTGCCCTGGAACACAAATAAAGTTGACATTCTTGACTCAAGGGGGCATTCTTGGAGGTCTTGTTTCAAGAATGACCCGTGTCCCTATGTGTGTGTGTGTGTGTGTGTGTGTGTGCTTGCACACTTCAATCTCCAGCCCCTTGCCCAGCTCGTGAACCATCCAGTAGTGCAGGCAGTATGCTACAGGCGTAGTACCATAGTACATGCAGTAGCACGGATGCTACATTCTTTGGTTGCAGTTTAGTTCACTTTGAACAGCTGTGATCCCTTTACCCACCAACCTCGTGTTTATTACCTCTCTCATTGCCATGACAACACTGACAGGGGCACTAAGGGAAAAGGATTTATTTGGGCTCATGGTTTTGAAGGGGACAGCTGTCATGGTGGAGAGAACATGACAGAGTTCATGCGGGCAGGAGATGCTGCCGGGACTTCATCTTTGGTGGCCGGAGTTTGCAGTGCAGTTTATCACATCCAAGCATGTTGGGGAGCAGAGCCCAGACCTGAGCAGAGACAGCCTATAATCCTCAACTCCACCCTTAAAGGTCCCACACATCACCATCAGCTGGTGAGAGTTCATGTGTAAATCATAGCATTCCCACTTACAAGCTGGGCAAAACTTCCATAACTGCTTCAGACCATATTCACGAGTGTGATGCTTGCTGCCACAGCTGACAACCTGAGTTCAGCCACAGGACCCACAAGTTGGACAGAAAGAATCAAGTCCTGTAAACTGTCCACTGGCCGCTACTCACACATCAGTTGTCGTGCATGTACACACACACACACACACACACACACGCACACATGTGTGCATGCACACAAAATAAATAGAAAAAATGTAGAAAATGTTTAAAGGTTTTTTATTTTATTAAATGTCATAGTCTTTGTTACTTTTCTATTTGCTGTAACAAAACATAGTCAAGGAAAGTTACAGTTTGGCTTCCAGTTGCAGAGGGTTAGGGTCCATGATGGCAGCAGCAACAGCTGAGAGCTCACATCCTGACCCATAAGCAGGAGGTACGCACACTGGGAATGGTGTCAGTCTGTTGAGGGCTGTGGACTCAGACCCTGAATTTCCTGTAAATAATTTGTCATGCTTGCAGCTGCTCTGAGAAAAACAACTTGTTTTCCTGTGTTTGCAGCTACTCTGAGCATGAGACCCTCAGGAGTTCCTGATGGCAGGGGAGTGGTTTCTGGTGGGTTTGGCTGGGGAGTGGCTATCAGTTAAGGAACCATATATAAGCAGCTCTGGTACACAATAAAGTGGGCATTCTTGTTTCAAGAATGGCCAATGTCTCTGTTTGTGTGCCTTGGTGTGTTTAAATCTCCAGGCCCTTGCCCAGCTTGAGAATGGCCCTGTAGTGCAGGCTCCACACTACAGGCGTAGTACCGTACTACACATAGTAGTATGGATGGTACATAAGTCTTTTGAAACCTCATAACCACCCCCTGTGACACACTTCTTTCAACAAGGCCACATCTCCACCAACTTGGGACTAACTACTCAAAAATATGAGCCTGTGGGGGCCGTTCTCATTCAAATAGCTAGAATACTATTTAGTACCTTGGACAACATCAAATTGCTTTCAGCTAAAAATTAACCTAAAGCTAAAACATATTTCCAGTTAAAAATACAGAACTCAGTCAGGCACAGTGGTGCATACTTGGGATCCCAGGACTCAAGCAGAGGCAGAGGCAGGTGGATATCTGTGAGTTCAAAACCAACTATAGTTACATGGTGAGAACTTGTCTCAAAATGTAACATGAGGGGCCTGCTTGTTGGGGTTTCTGTCCCACCCAGTACCCCACAGCTGGCAAGTCCCAAAGAAAATCACACTCAGGTCTACATAGGTTATAAACTGATTGGCCCTTAGCTCAGGCTTCTTATTAGCTCTTATAACCTATATAGCCCATTATTCTAGTCTATGTTAGCCACATGGCTTGGGTACCTTTCTCAGTGGAAAGCTCACATCCTGCTTCTTCAGTGGTCTGGGCAGGAATGGGGGAAATTGGCTTCCTCCTTCCCAGAATTCTGTTCTCATCGCCCCACCTCTACTTCCTGTCTGGTTGACCAGCCTATACTTCCTGTCTGACCAATCAACGTTTATTCAAAACATGATTGACAGAATACAGACAATTCTCCTACACCACTTCCCCCTCTTTTTTTTTAAACAAAGGAAAATACCCATAGTCCATATTTTGGGAATGTGGGTGTAGTATTCCAGGCTACTTCTGGCTGGTTGGGGGCACTAATAATCTTAAGAGGACCTAAAGAAAATTTAGAATTATGATCAAGTCCTGACTGGAGTATTCTGTGAGTCTTGATCATCTTATGCAGCAGTCTTGAGTCTGTTCTGGATATAGAACTCA